ATAGCACCAGATGGTGAGATGCAACATAGCACCAGATGGTGAGATGCCACACAGCACCAGATGGTGAGATGCAACATAGCACCAGATGGTGAGATGCAACATAGCACCAGATGGTGAGATGCCACATAGCACCAGATGGTGAGATGCCACACAGCACCAGATGGTGAGATGCAACATAGCACCAGATGGTGAGATGCCACATAGCACCAGATGGTGAGATGCCACATAGCACCAGATGGTGAGATGCTACATTGCACAAGATTGTTTTTTTTTACTTGAATAGCGTGATGATATATTTACAGTAAATAGATATTAATTTCATACAAAATAACATAATAAAGGTTACAATTTATATAACAGAAGCTTTAAATCAAGACAAAATGTTTGGCTGAGCCTTGGCTTGATTTCAGAGTCGCGGTTACCGTCACTGGATTCTGAAGCCACTGGATCCAGTGGCCGGAATCCTCGGGATGCTTCCACTGACCTGCAGAGATCCACTGATCCGCTGACCACTCCAATCCAGCGGAAGATCAGCAGGTCCAACCCTTCCGAGGGGCTGAATTCTTCAACCACGATCAACCTCCCCAAGAACTACAACCCATTAACCGCACTCAACCAGGTTGAAATGCTCTACAACTTCACCCTGAAAACCGCCGCTGAAATCCCGAGTGTTGATAACCAACCCCGGGTTGAAAAAAATCAGTCATCGGTTGCGTGGCGTAACCGTAAGAGCAGGGATATGGTTGCCATCGGTTGTGTTGTGGTTGAGATGTTTGCGTCAAACCGCTGCCGAGGTTTGGGACCCAACGCTTGTTTGAGTGAACGCTACGCCTTCTGCAGGTGGTTGGTGGCTAACGCTGGGGCGTTAGAGCTGCCGAGGTGCCTGCGTTATACGTTGCTCGAGGTGTTCCAGGTAACGCCGGGGGGAATACGTCACCTTAAATCCCCCTGGGGAGTCAACCACGTCATAAGGTCTTGTGAACGCGGGGTTGGACAACCCGATGGGTATTTTAAACCTCGCACGAAACCCCATGGGGAGAGAAACCACCTGGAAACTGCCTTCAATCGGCACCACCCACGACCACCTGGGGATGATCCCCACATGCAAGCACTTGGGGATGTACACCACCGCGACTCCCCATCCTCAGAGGACGCGTTATCCTATCCCCCAGTCAGTGGTTCCTCAGGCCTCCCCCCTCCAAGTCCCCAGTTACTCCTACAGCCTCTAGTGGACCTCTTCCCCTTCCCCCTTTATTACCCCAAGGTCGGGGAATTCCTGCGACAGCTGCACAGATACACCCTCGCCCTGGGGAAACTAGAAATATTCCCCAAAGATCCCCAAGGGAAACAGAAGCTGGCAGAGGCCCGAGTGTCGTACGCTGCCCGCGAGTCCAGCAAACTGCTGGCAGTGTTGCCAGCAGAGGGGCTGTCCCTGACACTGCCAGCGTTCCTGGAACTTTATTCCTGTCCCTTGACGGCTGTCAGCTGCGCCTGGCACCTGACAGGGGCGCTGGCAGAGGTGCTGGGTCCTGTCAGTGCCAGACAGCATCTCCTGCCACTGCTGGTACGGCTCTTCGAGGCAGAGGTCATCACCGACAAGTACCTTAAGCTGTACCATCGTACCTTCCTCCTGCAGCTCATAGTCAGGTACTTAGTGGTACTTAGTACTGTACTACCTTGCTGCTGCTGNCTCATAGTCAGGTACTTAGTACTTAATTTGTAGTATTTGTTCCTCGTAATGACATTTATCCTGCAAATTTTGATTTGATTTATTATAATATTTCTTAATTTAATTTATAATCTTGCCTATTTGTTGCCATTACTAATTTCTTGCTGCTAATGTAAATTAAATTTTTACTGTTTCCAAATTTGCTAGTTTGAATTTATTGTTGCTGTTCTTTTATGCCTTTTGCGTGCTAAACTTAATTAATATTTTTTTCGTGCATGTAAACTTAATTAATAATCAGGTCCTTCTGAAAATATATAAAAGCAGAGGTAAATAAATATATGTGATATATTTATTAATAAATATATATGTGAATGTGATTCCTTCTGAGAATATGTAAGATAGACTTAAATACTGAATATATGTTGATAATAAATATACACAAATGTTAATGTAATTATCTGGCCCAGGCTGGGGCTGGGGAGATGCATGTAAACTTAATTAATAATCAGTTCTTCTGAAAATATATAAAATAGAGCTAAATAAATATAAGTGATATAGTATTTATTAATAAATTAAATAAATATATGTGATATATTTATTAATAAATATTAAATAGAAGTTAATTATATCCCCCAGGCTGGGGCTGCGTGTAAACTTAATTAGTAATCAGTTCATTTTGAAAATATATAAAATAGAGCTAAATAAATATAAGTGATATAGTATTTATTAATAAATTAAATAAATATAGGTGATATATTTATTAATAAATATTAAATAGAAGTTAATTATCTCCCCCCCAGGCTGGGGCTGAGGAGCTTCCTGGGGAGCCTGGTGATGGCCCTCATAGAGGGGGTGGGGGGCGGCAAGACCTTGGGGGGCAGGGGGGGCCACACCCCCGACACATCCACACGCAAACACTCCGCTACACTCAGGTGTGTGGGGGGTGTGTTACACGCAGGTGTGTTGGTGGTGTGTTACACGCAGGTGTGTGGGGGTGTGTTACACGCAGGTGTGTAGGGGGGGTGTTACACGCAGGTGTGTTGGTGGTGTGTTACACGCAGGTGTGTTGGTGGTGTGTTACACGCAGGTGTGTTGGTGGTGTGTTACACGCAGGTGTGTTGGTGGTGTGTTACACGCAGGTGTGTTGGTGGTGTGTTACACNCCTGTCTCTTATACACATCTAGATGTGTATAAGAGACAGGGTGTGTAGGTGGGGTGTTACACGCAGGTGTGTTAGTGTTCAGTGCTCCCAAGACTTGCTAGTTTTTCTGTACACTCAAAGAAATGCGTAAGACTTTGTGCAAATAGCGAGGCATCTTTTAGCCTTGCATGAGTTCTGATGCAGATGGTCTGGTCAGATGGGGCGTATCTGTGATACGTGCAGAAAGTGTGTCACTATATGGAAAATTATAGTTAAAATATGAAGAAGAAAAATAATAACAATGATAATAATAATAATAATAATAACAATGATATAATAATAAGAAGAAAAATAATAATGACAATAATAATAATGATAATAATAATAATATGAAATAAGCGTAATTTTTACTGAACAAAATCAACAATCTAATTTTTCGCCTGATATGCAGTTTCAATTTAAATATATATTGAATTACTTAAATTAAATAATAATTAAATAACAAATTTTATTAAAATTGTTATTAGTACTTTTAATTAAATAGTAAAATGGTTTTGGAGAATGTGTACATTTTTTGCAATTATTTTAATATTTCGTATCAGGAGCGTCGAGCTGAGCCCTCAACCCGCCAACCCCACGGAGAGGGTTCACTCCTCCCCCCGCCTCGGGGTCGCTGATGACCCCAACCCCGCTGGGGATGTTCTAGAGCCCCCAGCTCCTGGGGATGTGAAGGAACCCCACGACCAGCGCTCCCCTATTTATAACCCCTATTCCACCCCTATTGAAGGGGTGGAAGCCGAAGCAGGTTTTTTTTATTCGAAAAATATGATATTTTTTGTAACAAAATATTATAGATTCATTCATTTAAACTATTTAGTTAAATTTATTCGTTTAAAAAACCAACTGAAGCAATAATTATGCAATGAAAAAAATTATGTGAAACAAACTTGGAAATTATTATGAAAAAAATATATTTACAATAAGGCTTCGTTTGGATGAAATGCTAAGTTCAAAATAAACTTTATGATAATTTGATTATTTATGTATTTGATAACCACTGAATCAAGATCATTATATATGGTAAATGTCAGTATCTTATTATGATCAGCTTTAGTTGAATTATGTTCAATTAATCAATTTTTATTTGCAGAAATGTTCGACTTTGAAGAGCCGGGCGGTCTGTCTACGAACAGCGTACATGCCTCTGTCAGGTCGGTCCTGGCAAATGACGTTGAAAAAACGTTGATTACGAGTTGATTTATTGAAAGAACGTTTTTTCAACGTTGATTCAACGCAAAATGTAAAATTTTCTTGTAATTTTTGCATAGAAAAATTGTAGTTGCATTCGGCAATGAACACTAAAATTATAAAATTTCTTCAAATTTATGCGTGAGAAATTTTTAGCGCATTTTCTCATTTATAGAAAAAAATGCCCTATTGTGCTCGTCATGTCCGTCCGTCTGTCTGCCCGTCTTTCTGCCCGTCTGTCTGTCTGCCCGTCTTTCTGTCCGTCTGTCTGTCCGTCTGTCTGCCCGTCGGTCTGTCCGTCTGTATATCCGTCTGTCTGTCTGCCTGTCTGTCTGTCCGTCCGTCCGTCCGTGACTCCACGTTTTCGTCGACGAGAAAATGCGCTCTCTGTCACTCACTGCAGGGAGTACTGAGTTATATTTTTTATTATTATTTATGTTGTACATAAATGAGTACATGTGCGCAGGTCTCCGCCGGTGTCAGACTCAGTCTCCCTGGACGACGTGTCCTTGCTGGACGCGGTGGGGTCAATGGGAGGGGATGACGGGGGGCGCAGGGTCCCCCCCAACAGCGGGGGCTCTCACTCCGACGAAGAGACCACGGACGACGAGCGTAAAAGATTCAGTTTCTCGTCGTGCCCAAGTCGGGCCGACGACACGGACCCCGATACCCCGACTCCGAAACCCGACACCCCGACCCCGAAACCCGACACCCCGACCCCGAAAGTTCACACCCCGACCCCGAAGCTGGATGCTTTCGACGAGACTCGCCCAGACGGCGCACGTCTGAGCGCTGCCGAGCAGAGACCTGACGATGACGACGAGGCAGAGACGAGCGAAATTGCGTCTCTGAATTCACCTCGTATTTTGTCTCCTAATATCCATATTCCCGGCCGGCCTAAAGCCGACTTTTCCGGCCCAGAATTCTGCTCGAACTCGCTGCCGAATATGGGGCTAGGAACGAAAATGTTCAACGTGGGACGTGGTGAACCGTCCAACGTCGTCCCTGATGGCATGTTTGGTGCCCAAGAATCCAAGGATTCTGAAGAAATCAATTCCTCAAGGCAAGCATCCTCGAATTCCAGTATTCCAGACCGGGAATCCGGAAGCGGAACAGACACAAGCTATTCCCAGGACTGTTCCATCGGCGACGTGTGTTCCGAAAGCGTCCTGTGGCTGGGCCACAGACTGGGCCCAGTCCTAACCTCGAAATTCTTGGCCCGCAATCTGCTCCGCATGTTGACCCTCTGCTACCTGCCCTCCAACGGGGCCCTGGCCCCTGTACCCTGTGACCCCAGAGACAAACTCTCAGTGACGCGTAAAAGAATCGCAGGCGACCGCACCAGCAGACGAGTTTTAGACTGTCTGTCTTCTCTCGCCTGTATTTATGGCGAAGAAGTAATAATGGTGCAATATATCAGCCACGTCTGCGACTTCATCGCATCCTGTCGCAGAAAACTAACGACTACATCTGAAGCAGGACTCATAGGATGCGCCGCCCTCCTTCAGCACCTGCTACCCTTCATCAGCGACAGCTCCTTCATGCGATGCCTGCAGGATACCCTCATCAAGGATGCCCTGTATCCCCTCATCAGGCTGCTCGCCTCTACGAGGGTCAACTTTCCCAGCGGGGCGGCCGTGAGAGGAGCCATCGCGTACAGGGTTGTTGATATCATCTTCATCATGGCGCTGAGGTAGGGTTGTTGATATCATCTTCATCATGGCGCTGAGGTAGGGTTGTTGATATCATCTTCATCATGGCGCTGAGGTCAGACTCAAGTCTTCGAAATTCTATCAGTATTTAAAAGCAAAGAAAATAGCCAGAAAATTCACCATTTCTTAAAAATGAAAAGGTTTTGGAGTCCAGCTCCATCATCAGTTAAAAAAAACGATGATGATGGAAGGTTTTCCATTTTAAGAAATGGTGACTTTTCTGGCTATTTTATTTGCTTTTAAATTCTTTATAAACTTGCGATTTAAGCAGTCAAATTTTCTTAATACTTCGAAATTGTAATAATATTAATAATAGTTTTTATATAGCATGTGATGCACGGTACACGGTAACCGCCTTCAACATGTCTTTGAGACGAGACTCAAATTTTAAATATTAGATTTCATTTAAATAAATACATTAAGTTTATATCACTCGTCTAGCTAGGTACTATTAAAAAGCCAAACAATTCACAATAAATCGAGTGGGATTTTTCACTTTCATCGTCTCGCACTTATTAGAAATTTCGCCATGCTTAAATCTGTTGGCTGTTCTCGAATTTGAAAAATTTTTACTTTTTTGCGTTATTCACCTCAATTCTTCTCGAATTATTAACTAACTGAAAATCATCATTAAATAATTATCGTAATTCGATTTAAATGGCAAATTCTGTTACAAATTTTACGAGAAATTTGTTGATTGCATACTACAGCAGACACATATGAAGATGAAAATTGTTATAGATTTTTCATTTTAGATTTTTATTATTTAAAAGTCAAAATATGTTGTAATTTAAATTTTTATTTTGAAATAAATCAACAAATTTAGAAATTTAATGATTGGCATACTACTGATGATTGGTATCATTTTAGATTTTCATTGTTGTAGATCTTCATTGTTGTATATTTTCATTGTTGTATATTTTCATTGTTGTAGATTTGTGTTAATTGGTACATGCCTACAGGGTAGGCCGCGAGATGAGCAAGAAGCTGCTGATGCGCAGCATAGTGCGTCTCCTGAGCGCCTTCGACAGAGTCTACGCGCCCACATCGTCGTGCCACGTCCGCAACTCAAGTCCTAATGAACCGCACGTCCACAACCCTAGTGACCTGGGCACGAGGGATATGAACCCTGTGAACCCGTCACAATCTTTGAACCCGTCACAATCTTTGAACCCTGAAGAGAACAGTGCAAAGGATTTTACTAACGATGAGGGTGAGAAGAGGTCTCCTAATACCGTCAGAGTCGAAGAAAATGTCGGGGATATTTCGGAAACGAAAATCCCGAATTCCCCCGCAACGGACGACACGGAAATGGTGAGGAACCGAGCTCTGAAGGAACTCAGGGAGATCCTAACCCCAGAACTGGCCTACCTCTCCTACTACCCCCTATGCAGGTACCTAGGGGCACGCGCCCTCGAGAACTGCCTGCCTAACCACGAACTCCTTCGTTCCTTGTGCATACAGCACGACGAGATCCTACAGGATAACCACGCCCACTGCATCACCATGGACAACTTGGACGCATCTTGCGCACGGGCAAGTGGCTACAATAGTAGTGCAGACCTGAGCTTCTCTTCCACTCTCAGTGGTGTAACTAGTGGCAGTTCCCTGAGCCCTCGATCGTCGTTTACAGTCACTAACGTCACTGGCAACCGTATTGATATTAGTGACACGGCGTCACTGAATGACAGCGACGTATCGTCTCAAATATACCCGCAGTCAATAGGCTTCCTGGAAAGCATTGACATTTCCAGCTACATGTCCACGAACATGAAGAACAACACGAAGCGACATCTGCGTGGTAATTGGCTGGCATATTGGAACCACGAAATCGGGCGTTCAGACCACGATACTTTGTTTAACTTTAACCACATCAAACTTCAGTCTTTCGTGGGCCATACCAACAGCATCAAAGGCTTACACGTTCTCGACAATGAGAATTCATTCATGTCGTGCAGTAAAGACAAAACCGTGAGGCTGTGGTCACTGCGCAGTGAAGGCGATGGCACGGCGCAGTGCCCTCCGCAGTTCACGTACACGGGACACAAGAAGTCCGTGTTCGGGATCACGTTTTGTGAGCGTCATCGTCTAGCCGCATCCTGCGACTCTACCGTGCACGTCTGGGACCCGTTTGTAGGCGCAATGGTGCGTCAACTTGACTCACTTCGTCATAGTCCTGTGACTGTTCTTGCTAGCGTCGCCCCGCCGTCCAGTGAACTTTTGGCCGCGACCACCGACGCCACATTGCGGGTCTTGGACCTGAGGGCCCGGGACTACACGCACCACTACCGCGTCACCGCTACCAGCGCAGGTCTTGTGCGCTGCGTGGTTTGCAGTGACGATGGGACGATGGTATGCGTGGCCCACTCGTCTGGTATCGTCACGGTTCTGGATTTGAGAACCGGGCACTTGCTTGCCACTTGGAAGCCTCACGAAGGCGAAGTTCTGTGCTGTCGGTGGTACAAAAACCGGACGTTTTTAAGCTCCGCTTTGGACCAAACCGTCGCGGTTTGGAACGTCAACGACAGCGGCAGTAAATTTACGCTTAAAGGTCCCACTGAACCCGTACACCTGCTGCAGCTGTACCAGGACCAGGTCATCAGTGCTACCACCGCCAACCGCATCGGGCACCACCCCTGCGTGGGGGCGGACGCCCCCTACACGAGTTCCAGACTCAGGACCGAGGCGCTGAAGGGAGTGGTGACCGCTATGGAGCTGCTGCCGCTCAACAGGATGCTGCTGCTGGGCAGCGACTCGGGGTGTCTCAGGCTGCTATGTTAGCCCAACACACTAAAATATCAATGGGGCATTTTGTTCAAAATACGACACACATTCCTACCCACTGTGCAAGCAGATAGGTCACATTGTCCAAATTGTGACATACTTTCTCACCCACAGCAGCAGCTGGAAGGACGTAGCACCAATACGCTCCTTTGCCGGTCCAAACTGTGTCAAGATGACCTACGCAAGGGGCGTAAAGTGCTTCGTTTAAGGGAAAAGTCTCGCTCATTTCTCTCCGTGTAGCTTCATGTATGTATTTAAGAATATCACAGCCTTTAAAATAGCCTGAGATGACGGGCAACTTGCCTTCCCCTCGTCGCCATTGCGGATCTGGAAATAAAGTTTGTTGATTTTTAGCGCATCTTCTCATTTATGGGAAAAATGCACTATTGTGCTCGCCATATCCGTCCTTCTGTCTGTCTGTCCGTCCGTCCGTCCGTCTGTCTGTCCATCCGTGATCTCACGTTTCCATTAATGAGAATATGCGCTCTCTGTCACTCACTGCAGTGAGTACTGAGTTATATTTTTTAGAAACGTCGACAGGCAAGGTGTTGATGTATACGTTTTAATAAGGTCTTAATAAAATCGGGCAGGGTATTCATGATATATTTATTATTTGCATCGTATTTTTGTCTTTATTTGTTTAATTTGTTAACTATCTTTGCTTAAACAATTTACGAATATAAAGAAATAAATAGAATAAACAACACCTTAGGAATGATCAATTGATGATTAATTAACAGTTAAATATTTTTGTGATTAATATTAAACATATTGTTCTGAATGATATAAATTAAAGAAGTTCACGTTCATACCACCAAATAAAATTTTAATTGCTACAATACATACAAAAACCATTCAAATTCTCCGCATTGTCAGTTTAACTGAATAAACAGCCAATGTTTAACTTGAGAATGCATAGGATTCTCTACTAAGTACATGCAGTTTTGTGTACATTTAACTAGAGAATGCATAGGATCCTCTACCAAATACATGCAGTTTTGTGTACATTTAACTAGAGAATGCATAGGGTCCTCATACTAATTACATACATTTTTGTGTACATGTAACTAGCGAATCCATATGGTCCTATTACAATACCCATGCAGTTTTGTGTACAATTTACCCATATATTTTCTAGGATCGCTATCGGTATCTATTATCGCTATCGCGTAGGATTTAAAGCTCCGGAACATTCCCTAGATTCGCTCGCTACTTATAAGTTTTTGGTCTATTAATGTTAAATAATTGATGTTAAATACGTTATTAATGGCGAATTATTTGTATATGTCGCATTTCTGTCCCTCATTAATCCCTGTGTCTCAATTATTGATATTATTTACTAATCATATTTGTATATTCAAATCTATACGTCAACATTTAATTGTGATTAGTCCAATTATCAACCACAAGGCGGAGAGTGTACGTTTTTCCATTAATTAATTGCAGCTAATTTAATTAATTAACTTATTAGGTTATAGACAAATAATTACAACAGGAGTTAAATTTGTGCGTATGTAACAATTTTTTAAAATCTCAGCTGCATAATTAATATAGGAATTACTTACCTACTCGTTACTAATCTAGTTGCAGAGTACAAAAGTTCATTCCTTATCATGCGGGTAATGAGCATTAAACTTGGATTTAAATACAATATATTATATATTATATTGATGTATGTACAATACTGCTTGTACTCATCATACTCTTTATTTTGACAAGTTTTAGAGTCAGGAAAGTAAGAGTAGAGATGGGGTACCGTAAATGGAGTACCTTACCGTTTATTCATTATAATATTCATTGTAGATCTGCTCCGTATTATTAAATATAAAGTTTTAGGAAACTTTTAAATCCTTATGCCGGCAAGACGAGACTATTTGCCGGTTTACTTCATCTAATTCACCTTATTTTCTTTAATTTCATTTCATTACCAGAAAATTCCTGCAAAGTTTACCTTTGAATTTAACTGATGCGTTCTGAAGGATATATTAACATAACATTTAATTGCGAGAAAATATTCACTTACGAACACTATGGTAAATTAGACGCGTAAAATTTGTTGAGTTAGCCCTGAATACGCGGTGAAGCATTTTTCTCATAAGGTCAATTTATACATGGCGGTTCACTATGATAACATTTATTATTCTTAAAATAAATGAGTTATTATTATTAATTTCCTTTTAATATAAGCCGTCATTATGTTAAATATATTTTATCTTATATTTGCTCTTTCGATCATAATTTTAGTGGCAGCTTTTTTAATAATAATAATAATTCCTGTATTTTTTCTGAAATTATTTTAAAATATATTTTTCAAACCCAGGCTTTCATGAACTACAGACAGACATCCGGACACGAGAAACAACTTAAATAAAATAAAATATATTTAAACAAAATATTATTAATATAATAATATTATAGAGTACATTCCAGCAATTAATGTCGACTTTTCCTCCTTCGACGGCCGTCGTAGGAGAAAAATTTTTCTTCTTTGTTCGTCTCGACGAACGAAAAAGTTTTTAATTTTTCATATTTTTAATTTCTACTTCACCTTGCACGTGTGTCTCTATAGCAGATTTAAGAAGCTGAATATCCTGGTTCTTTCATGCATATTTTATCTGATAAAGCCTTAAATGTTATCCTCCTTAATTTATCTTTTTTGTCTCATTAATCGTCTGAAGATTTGTCATTTGTCTCTTAATTTGCGTCATTTGTCTCTTAATTTGTTTCACAATTTTTCGCATAATTTTCATCAAAATTTCTAAGTGTAGATGAATGTATAACTTGGGCTCATCGTAGAAAATAAGATAAATATAGATTTGTGTGATAAATATAGATATAGTGATCTTGTGACGTATATCTATAATATAGATTTTCTGACGTATCATTCATCACTTTTAACCCTCGCAATATTTAAGATGAGTTCAAATTCTTGAAGTTCAAAGTTCGATGTCGTAAGAATTTGATCAACTTGCGACTTATGATGCTGGGCTGCCTACACTCAGAAAATTATTGGTTACTATTGTCCAAATAATGACACGCTGTCTTATCTACTCATAGAAATGAGTGAGGCATTGTCCAAATATCAATGCACTTATTTTCTTGTGCGGGACATCCTGACCCAGTTTTTCTTTGTAAAAGCACGTATTAGTGCTACGTGAAGAAAGTGAGTCATTATTGGGGCGATGTAACCCATTCATTTGTTTGAGTGTACAGCGCGAGCAGACAGGGCTAATGAGCTCTTTTGCCTGGACAAACTGAGTCAGGATGACCCACGTACGGGCAAAATTCTCGTTATTTGGACAATGACCTCCTTATTTCTGTGTGTGTGATAGACAACGCTTTATAAAGAATGCATGAATTGATCTTTTATCAATGGGGTTCCCGGTCATAAATTATTTGTTGCAATATCATTAAGATGCAGCGGCCTCGGGGTAAAGTTTAGGGGTAAAAAAGTTCGATAGGCGGCGAATTGGGGGTAAAAAATGAGGAAAATCAAGCACCGACTAATGAGTCCATTGAGGAAAATTCTTTTTAATGTTGAAATTGGGGATGAAAAAAATCGGGAAAATCAAGCACTGACTAATGAGACCATTGAGGAAAATTCTTTTTAATGTTGAAATTGGGGATGAAAAAAATCGGGAAAATCAAGCATCGGCTAATGAGTCCATTGAGGAAAATTCTTTTTAATGTTGAAATTTTATTCACTTCATTGGAAGGCATGTTCATAGGTTCATAGCTAGTTCTGCTCATTCGCGCGAATAGCTACTAACTGATTTGCCGTTATTAGATATTAATAAATGTAATTTTAAAAAATACCAAATCGTGTCATAATTTAGTAAAATGTTGGTTTAATTTTGCTTATTAGAAAGCTTTATGTATTACTTTGTTTTCATAACTAGATACTAGTAGATAGCCATTATCGGAACGAGATTTTTATTATTTCTTGGAGGTAAACAGATAAAATAATCATTATATCAAACCTCTAGTTTGTGGACACATTTTTCATATATTTATTTTACATATACATAAATTTCATAGGTTTATACCCTCAATATAGTCCCGAACAACTTATTTTCTTTAATATCATTTCCTTGCTAGAACATTCCTGCAATATTCAAAATTTACAGATGCGTTCTGAAGGATATATTAACATAACATTTAATTGCAACAAAATGCCCGTATCAACTCTCTAGTTTATGGATTTATTTTTAATATTCTTTATATATTTATTTTACATATACATATATTTCATAGGTTTATACCCTCAATATAGTCCCGAACACGGCAATTAATCGCAAATGGCCCAATGGAGACGAAGCTCTTCTTTATATATTATTGTGTTCTATTTAATGGCGGTGATTCTCAGCCGCGTTTTCGAGCGCGACAAAGAAACTAAAATGTGAGTTAAGGCTTTAATGAGGCTTAAAGCCTCACAATAATTTTGTGAGGCTTAAGGAAAAAACTTGCACTTGGGGGAATTAGTGAGACTTTTTTAGTTTTAAAACTAGTGGGGAAATTTTAGTGTTCAAATCGTGATACACTTTTTGATGCTGTGTGTGTCGTGATGGGGAAGAGAGTGTATCGATATTTTGGACAATATTACACATTAATTTTTCTTAGTGTTACTAAAACGTTTACTATTGTGAGTTTAAAATGTGAATGTGGGTTCAATAATCAACTTCTGTTAAAATGATTTTAAACACAAAATAATTTTGGTGATACCAATGATATATTTGAAATTAAGTTTAGTTTAGAAGCTACGGTCCTTTAAAATTTATATTCATAATTGTTGCTCAATTTTTTACATTATAGATCGCGCAGAGTTCTAAAAGAAGTACAACTCGACATCGAGAGAATTAACGGTTCACCGAGAACAAGCTGTTTCTTCCCGCCCGTATTTACCTTTAAGAACAATAAACTCAATAAAAACAACGGCGATAACAAGATCCACAGGAGTAAAAATAACAGTAGAAACAACAGCCTTGATTTCAATTTACGTGGAAAGATCAGCAATCGTTTCACCGAAGAAAACGTCGACCCTGTCAAGAAAATTATTTTTATTTGGACCCAAATGAGGTCCGGATCTTCTTTCACATCCGCAATTCTTTCTAATATTCCCGGAACTTTCACAACCATCGAACCGATCCGCACCAAAATTGGGCATAAATCCCCAGAAAAATATTTCACGGGAATATTTTTCAAGGACTATTTGGTGCGATTAATGCAATGCAAAATTGACTTCGACGCCGCATTCCCAATTTTTTACCCCAAAGATTACTGCCTTAGGGAGAAATTTTCAGGGTACTTGTGCGCGTCCAAGGAATTTTCCGAGTATTTTTGCAGCAAGTCGCGCATTCATTTACTGAAAATTGTAAGTTTACGGCTTAAGTTGGCGCAAAGTTTGCTCGAAGAAGAACTCAATTTCGATATTAGAATAATACATTTGGTGAGAGATCCGAGAGGAATGTTATCTTCTTCAAAAGGAATTATTGTTAATGATAATCTTCTCGATCCTGAGTATATCTGTGAAAACTTGAGGGAAGACATCGCCGTTGGGCAGCAAATCTCCAAAAATTACCCTAACAGGTCCGTGTTTCTTAACTTTTATTTTAAGCTTTTTTCTTTGACAAGAAAACTGGCAATTTCTTTAATTAATTTTAATTAATCCATAAAAGCTCTTCTTCAAAAATGTCTTTATTTTATTTTTTATTAGTCCATAAAAGTTCTTACTGGACTAAATTTGCCTTTTAAATTCGACTCGTTGAAGAAATTGGTGTTTACCCTGCATCACTCAAAGAAATAACTAGTCCAAATAGCGATGGACTTTTTGTTCTTGTGTGGGTCTCCCTGACCCAGTTTTACCGGGAGTAAGGGCGTATCTGTGCTACGGCCCCTCTGGTTGTATATCTTTGTCACTATTTGAAAAATATTAATAATTAGTACCGTATTTTAAATGTTACGAAATAACATTTTACCATTTATATATCCGAAAATATTAATATATATAATATATAAGTGATATCATTCATATTTTGATTGCAGGTACAAACTGGTGCGGTATGAAGACTTGGCCGCACTCCCAGTCTCATTTACAAAGGAAATGTTAAATTTTTTGCAAGAGCGACCAACAATCAAAGTTCTAACTGCTCTTAACAAACTAACTAATTCATTTTCTGTTGTTCTGAATACGGCGAAATATTCCGTTACGAAATATTCAAAAAGCAAACCAAATGAATGGCGAAAATATTTGAATTTTTCTGAAGTGATGAATATTCAAAATGTTTGTGGTGACGTCATTGCACAGCTAAAATACAGACTATTCAGTGATGAAAATGAATACGTGGATTATACGATGAATTCCTGAATTATAAAATGAAAACAAACGAATAATAACAGAATGAAACTATGAATACCAACGCAGAAAACCCGAAATATTGAGGACTATACGATGAATACTTGAATTATTGATGAATATACAATGAATACACAATAATACGATGAATAAATGCACAAACATGAGTGAATTCAGTGTGATGAATGGTAAAAATTTATTGTAATATTATGGATAGATAAGTTCAAATTTACAATTCATTTTCTATGTTCATCGATAGAAATGAATAATTTCTAAAGATTTTAGCTCAGAAGAACAAGGAATCTGTTCAATGTTAACTTAATCACTACTCATCCTTGCATAAGTTAGTGTAGCTTCTGAAACTTTTTCCTGTTCTGGCTTTATTATTTATATAAAGAAATTGAATATATCTACAATCTCTGATCTCTCGACGCGTTTTACAAAGCGTTTGCGATCACAAAAAACGTTATATCTAATTTTTATTGCTGTAAGGTTCGAGCAAGGACAACTCCAATTAGATTCGAAACTTAGCCCAATATTGCCACCGCTCCTTTGCAAGGGAGAAACGTAAGCATAATAAAGAAATATTTATTGAACAAAACATGCCAATTGAACACTGACAAGATTAATGGTTGAAAAGATTCTAGGAACTTAAGCTAAATCAGATAACTACGAAACTGAGCATGAGATAAGTGACACACAGCAATGACGGCGCACAGCACTGGAAGAGTAGATTGCACGGCAATGTGGGCACAGCAATATGGTGCTAGGCTACAATGGGGCACTGGACTGATGGTGCACAGCACGATTGTAAAACATCTATGCGAAATTTCTTCTCGCTTCGAGTCACCGACATGTGGAACAGCCTCCCTGATAGCATCGTTGACGCTCCGAGTATGAACATCTTCAAAAACAGACTAGACGAAGCTATGCAGGAGCATATGTTCAGTCTTAAAATGCCCAGCAAATTACGGACCAGGCAATAAGTTCAGCAGCTATCTCAATCAATCGTCAGCTATGGAAAGATCGGGTTCCAAAGGCCGGATCCCTTGTGAATCAAGTCACGAAAAGTACATGAATCGGCAACAGGCCATGGGCCTATTTCTTCAGTGCCGACACTTCTATTCTACTCTACTCTCTTCTAATAAGTGCCTGACTTGTGCATCACACACTGTCACCCTAGTCGTTAACTGTTTCAATGAATTCCTTTTACTAGCCAATTCCTTACAAACAAGTTTATTCTGCCATTTAGAAAGAGGACTTATGTAAACGTTTAAATAGTTTGAATCTAAGAAATTTAGGAAACTCGCCATATATCTTACATTTAACCAAAAAATCGATATCTAACGAAGTTTTCGCGGACTTCCGAAGAAGGTCGCAGTACTTCCTGAAACAATGGCATACTTCCTCGCCGTATTTAGATCGTATATAAGTTCTTATATTATCAGTCTGCTTATATCGCAAGTTCACGAGGAATTTAAAAGCAAAGAAAACACCAAGCAAATTCATCATATCGCTATTGAAAACATTTCGGAGTCCAGCTTCATAATCAGTTCGACAATCTAAAAATGAGGACAATCATTTTAAATATAAGTCAAAATTCTAAGACAGATATAATNTAGTAAACACAGCGCTAGTAAACACAACGCTAGGTATAGTAGGTAAGAATTATTTTGCTATCTCAGTATGCGTCGCGTGGTTGCGTTAATACTCAGAAAAATTAATGGGTCCAATTGTCCAGACAGTGACACACTTTCTCTCCCACGGCACGGGCAGTGAGCAGACGTAGCACTGATACGCCCAGCCAAACATTTGGACATAGTCTCACTTATTTCTCTTACATAACCTGACGCCGGTTTTTTGTTCGCGTTTTCTAGACGGTTAGAAAAACTGGACAGTGGAGCTGGGCTTGGACATATTTATTTGAGTGTTACTTTCCTGCGTGTTTGGGTGTTACTTTCCTGCGTGTTTGGGTGTTACTTCCCTGCGTGTTTGGGTGTTATTTCCCTGCGTGTTTGGGTGTTACTTTCCTGCGTGTTTGGGTGTTACTTCCCTGCGTTACTTGCGTGTTACTTTCCTGCGTGTTTGGGTGTTACGTACGTGTGTACAGGTGACATACAGCTGTGTGCTGTGTATAGGGTCTAACAGCTGTGTGGCTGTGTGAGGTACATGGTCATACAGCTGTGTGGCTGTGTGAGGTACATGGTCATACAGCTGTGTGGCTGTGTGAGGTACATGGGCACACAGCTGTGTGGCTGTGTGAGGTACATGGGCACACAGCTGTGTGACTGTGTGAGGTACATAGTCATACAGCTGTGTGACTGTGTGAGGTACATGGTCATACAGCTGTGTGGCTGTGTGAGGTACATGGTCATACAGCTGTGTGGCTGTGTGAGGTACATGGTCATACAGCTGTGTGGCTGTGTGAGGTACATGGTCATACAGCTGTGTGGCTGTGTGAGGTACATGGTCATACAGCTGTGTGGCTGTGTGAGGTACATGGTCATACAGCTGTGTGGCTGTGTGAGGTACATGGTCATACAGCTGTGTGGCTGTGTGAGGTACATGGTCATACAGCTGTGTGGCTGTGTGAGGTACATGGTCATACAGCTGTGTGGCTGTGTGAGGTACATGGTCATACAGCTGTGTGGCTGTGTGAGGTACATGGTCATACAGCTGTGTGGCTGTGTGAGGTACATGGTCATACAGCTGTGTGGCTGTGTGAGGTACATGGTCATACAGCTGTGTGGCTGTGTGAGGTACATGGTCATACAGCTGTGTGGCTGTNTTGAACAATGGTGTTACTTGAGCTTCTTTCCAGTCGGACGGCAAAGTTCCTTCGTTCAAGGTTTTTTGAAAGAATACTGTCAATGGGCCGGCCAGAACGGTTGGTAATTCTTTGAGCAATCTGGGATGGAAACCGTCTGGTCCACATGATTTGTTGGGATTTAGAGCTACCATGGCGCTTGAGAACCTCTACTTCGTGTATTTCAAAACATGTTAACTTCGAGCCGACTGGGCGCTCCTCAATATCTGGAATACTGTTCAAGTCCTCATCTGTGAACACACTGCTGAAGAACTGATTAAGAACGTTAGCCTTGCCCTCATCAGAGGAAAACTTTCTTTTGCCTACTTTCAAATCAGATATACCGTAGTATGTCTTACACTTCGAACTAGCGTACAAAAAATAGGCTTTCGGATTCTTTTTGCATTTTTAGCAAAAAATGCGTTTTTTTTTACGTTTTTCACTGCAGTGCGACAGACTTTTTTTAGCTTGATTTCGAGCGCTTGCATACAGGTTATAATCAGAATCACTGCGAGTTCGTAAATAACGTTTGGAGGCTTCTTTCTTGGTCTTTAGCTGAGCTTTAACTGTACTCTTCACCCACTGGGACTTTTTGACTGCTCTAAGCGTTATCTTAGGTACACAGGTATCAATTGCAGACCTAACCGTGCGTTTGAGAAATGACCATGAATCAGCCACATTCATGTCCTTAATACAGTCAGAAATATTCGCCGCATTCACCGCTTCACGGAGTTTATCATAGTCGCCTTTCGCAAAGTTCAAACGTTCACGCTTCCGAAGTTTCTTTTTGTACAGCACTTTATACTGAAAAAAAAAGGTTTAAATTTCAAAATTTCAAAAACAAAAAAAACTTTCAAGCAGGGTATAACTACGTTTTCAGGTATGAAAATAAAAAATAATATTGCCTAATTTTCCAATACAAATACTGATTTATTCATTTTCTGTTATGATGGTACAGGATTCAGGGCCATTCGCCCACCAGCTATTCCATTCTTGTGTTCTTCTTGTCGAGACCAGCCAAAGACAATTATTTTTTCCGCGTAATGTAGATTCTATTCTTCTTGACGACGTACAATAAAATGTTTCCACGTCAGGATGGATTTCATGATGGAGAGTTCCAGGATTTTCACCATATACACTTTCCGGCCGCTCTGAGCAAGCAGTTCCTTACTGGAGAACTTCCTTGGCCAGAGTAGGGCCAAGTCTTTACTCATCTTTTGGTGTGGAAGGCAAGCAGCTTGTTCCAGTATCTGTAAATCATTGCCAGCGGTACCGCGGGGCCTTCCAGATGTTGCTAAAGAGAAGCACATATTTTTTGTGGTAGACATCGTGAGATGTAAGATGCCTTAGTTTACTGATACTGATATTTGAATAGGGGGTGTATGGTATTTCTGGTTGCTGTTGACAGTAAAATTCGGGGTCCCCCCGGTTTTACCCCGCGCCACTACGCGTATTGATACTTGTATCTTTCAACTTTATACTCACAACCCAGGAAATCGTTTTTTTTTATCACAGTGTCGCATTTCTTCCCCTTCGCTCAACATGAGCAAGCCACGGAAACAGGTCATATTCTTTTTTCTTATTTTCGTACATGATTGCATTTTGCATTTATCTAACATTTCGGGGTTGATCACTTGTTGCGGCTGAGCCGATAGCTTTCGGTCCGAATAAGGGACTCCAGTACCTTAGTTGAAATTTTATTTCGTTGCTTGTTTTTCACATAGGTGACTTGTGAAAACATTCGCTCCACGAATGCATTGGAGACGGGTCAAAGTAGACAAGTGATGCAGTAGGCAGCCAGTTCTATGAAAGGATGATGATTTTCAAGATCAGTGAAATATTGAATGGCACCCCAGAATTCAAGTGGCACACTAGAATTCAAAACCACCAAAAAAATGGTGGAGCTTGCGTCGCAGAGATCGGTTTGACAACCACACTCGTCCTAGACCATAGCATCACTGATCAGTAATCAATCAAGGATTATCACTCTCATACTTATATTGTACTAAGCGCTTTTGTTTAATGTTAACAATTAGATTGGTGTTATTTGATTTCATCAAGCGGAAAACTTGCGGGCCCAAAAATGGCGGGAGAGCTCTAGTCGCGCCGCTCTGAAGGTAATCTATATAATCCATGCCTACGCTGGAGGAAGTTCAAACTTCAGAGGTGGAACTTAATGCAGTAAATTTGCAGTAAGTCAAAAAATACCAGATTTAGGCAAATATACCAATATACCAGATCTAAAATATCCATACTAGGCACTTCCTAAAAATACCAGATTTGTGAAATCTGGTATAGAAATATACCATCTGGTAAACGAAACTTTGACTATAGAAACCTAACATCCCAACGGTGATGTTCAGCTCGTGACAATTTTTTAGATTTTGCCTTTTAGTTTGCGAGTTTTTGTTCCACTTTACCTCATTCGTGATTTAAACAGCAATACGTGCTTTAAATTCGCAGTGAGCATAGAATTTCTCCTAAAATAATGAACAGATTTGAACGAAACTTCGTATGTGAATACCTAACCTCCCAACGGTGATGTTTAGCTCGTGACAATTTTTTTGCGAGTTATACGGCTTTACGTATACGGCTCATGGTCAATGCAAGTTTAAAAATCGGCCTGAGAATTGCCGGTCGTTTCTCCGTATAACTCGCAAGCGAAGGCGAAATATAAAAAAATTGTCACGAGCTAAACATCACCGTTGGGAGGTTAGGTATTAACATGCGAAGTATAAATCCCTGTGCAAACGTGGGATACTGGGACTTCTGTAACAGCCAAATCCCCCTGCAGACGTGGAGCTACATGGATGCGTCTCCAAAGCTCCAATAAGCATCAAACAAACAAACAACATGCGAAGTTTCGTTCAAGTAAGACTAAGAAGTGACCCGAGAGGCCAATATCTCTCAAACTAGTGAACGCAGCTCGATGTTTCGGTTCGAGGTTTCGCAGCTCGATGTATCGGTTTGTTTCGGTTTGAAACCCCAAAATCGCTGCTCCAATCCTGGTGATCGTTACCATGACTGGGCAACATGGAGTGTATTACTTAATAGTAGTCATTATCTTATTTAACCCTCTACCGCCTTACTTGAGTAACCTGCCACAAGCCTACTTCCCAAAAAGGATACATTCTACTGAGCGCGAAATGACTTGCACTGATGGTTACCGCCGCGTACAACTTTAAAATGTTCTCTGTTGTGTACAAACGTCCTCAGGTTGCTACACTCAATAGTTTACGGCCTCTGGCCTGGGTCACTTTACGTATAATTTAAGTTGAAAGTTATGTTCCCGGAGAGTGACGTTCGGCGGTAGAGGGTTGAATAAAATTAAATTACCACATGAGCGCAGCTAATTGTGTGATATGCAGAAATAACGATAACATATGTGTTTACATAATTTAAAAGTTTTAAATAGTATCATTTTCTAAAACCGGGGACCTCTTTTCGATTTTTCTTGTTTCCTCTGTACGATAAAGTCACTAGATTTACGGAACCGTTCCCTCAGACTGTCAGACACTCTGGCTCTGGTGCAGGAACCAGAAGGGTTCGTGTTTGCGGTGACTGGTGGGGATTGCGCTTGCTAATGAAAGATGTCGGTGGAGAAGATAAAACCTACTGAAGTCGAAAAAATTCCTTCATCCCGTAAGTTCATTTCATACTTTGTGAGTATTATAATTGGTTATTGATGAAAAAATTATTTCAAGTAATTAGAAGTAGGTAGGCTACGAACAATTTCAGGTTAGGACAGTAGGGTAGGTTATAGGTTACAAGTTACATGATGATGCTGTCAAAGCAGAGACTTTTTTTAGACTCGTCCTCAAATTGGTTTTTGAGTCCTATAAGTAGACCAGTAAACTATCATGGATACCAGCATTATCATACTTTAGATATTAGATTAAATTTTGAGCAGAGGAGGAAAGCAATAAAGAAGTGAATCTAAAAAATCTGGTTTCGTACTACCTACCTAGGCCTATGCCGCCTATCTATGTGCTTTGCCATGCCAATGGCAATGCCATTGAATGATTGATGCCAACAAATTCTAAGGTGAAATATTGCTTATTAGGCAGAATTTTCTAAAAAATTAGATAAGGCCTATCTGGGTGAAAAGCCAAAATTGCAGGCCAAAATGATTTTTTTTTAAATTTCTTCTGAAGATACTAGTCAAGGAGTATCCAGGTTTCATACTGTGGCATAAGAGTCATTGTAATAGTATCTCAGGGCTCATCTGGTCATTGAAAATCCACGTGCCACTCGTTGGTTGGTAGGTTTTCCAGTCGTTGGTCGGTAAGTTTTCCAGTCATTGGTCAGTAGGTTTTCCAGTCGTTGGTCGGTAGGTTTCTTAGTAGCTAGTTTGGTCACAGGTCACTTAACAACAAAAAAAAATCATCATTAATAAGAATATTAGTAGAAAACCTCAAGTTTTTGTACATTGGATTGTTAATATGCAACAAACCACACGTATAATGCATTAATGGTTTAATTTCTTCACACCAGGCACCATGCCTTCTTTACTCCTGAACAGTGAACACTGAACACTGACGTCTGACCGCTTCTGATAGTGATACGTAAATATTGCGCATAGTCAAACGCAAGCTATCCCTAAAATACGAAGGGCACAGCTTTCTCGGAATGGCAAACTCATTTTTGAATACAAAAACTAAGATATTAATTTTGTTTCATTTTCAACTCTTTAGGTAATACTTTAGATTAAGTGCATCCAAAAAAAGGGTGTTTTTTGTTTAATTATATGTTTTTTGGGGTGTAGATAAAGAATCAAGAGTCTGAAACATAAAGAAAAAAACATTAATAGGTGTATAAAACATAAAATATGTTATATAGGTACCTATGGTAATTTTAACTTAATTTCCAAGCCGGTCAATGTTACCTCGTCACGGCTGCCATTAGGTGGTCAAAGTTCCCCCATTGGGGGGTGGCCCCCATTTGCAAACTATGACATGTTCCTAAAATTTGTCATTTGCATATGTAACTAGAAGAGTTCTACTACAATGCATTAGAACCTGGAGTTATTTTACCAAAAAATAAAAAAATTGGAGAGGGTACTCCGACAGGCTTTAAATAATAGCTTTTTTTCATGGATCACATTATTAATTTTTTAACCTATTAGATATGCAAACTTTTTAAATCTTTCTATTGTGTTACGTAGCCTCAGTATTAGGACTTTGATGGCCGTTGACAAAATTTTTCTATGTCAAATGGTTTTTGAGTTTTGGGGGTTTTTGTTAAAAAAAACGAAAAGTGGTCAAAGTTACCCCGCTGGTCAAAGTAACCCCATTTTACGGAATATGTTTACAGCCATAGTGGCGAAAGTCTGAAGAAAAAATTATTTATTATCCTTCCTATAGTTCATTGTTGAGTCCTGTAACTTGTAAGTAGCTTTTTATTATAAAATATCTTGGATACCAGCATTATCTTACATAAGAAATTGATTAAAATATTGAGTAGATGAGGAAATTAAAAATGAACTGTTTCTAAAAACTAGTTTGCCACTATGTTTACAGCCACTGGAGGTGTAGAAGCATTCCCCATTGAAGGACCTTTGGGAAATGAATGTTATTGCCTTGTGGTGATATTACTTTATACTTTATATGTTTACAGCCACTGGAGGTGTAGAAGCATTCCCCATTGAAGGACCTTTGGGGAATGAACGCTATTGCCTTGTGGTGATATTACTTTATACTTTATATGTTTACAGCCACTGGAGGTGTAGAAGCGTTCCCCATTGAAGGACCTTTGGGGAATGAACGCTATCGCCTTGTGGTGATATTACTTTATACTTTATATGTTTACAGCCACTGGAGGTGTAGAAGCATTCCCCATTGAAGGACCTCTGGGGAATGAACGCTATCGCCTGGTGGTGGGCATGACAGACGAGGACCGAGCATACCGCAAGCAATGGTTGCAAGATCAGGTCAGTGCTTCACATCAGGAAATGAATGACAAGATATTATATATTTGTTTGTAAAATGAGTGAATATATTTAAAGTAAAATTGTCTTTGGTTTAAAATTGAGTTAGTCAATTTCAATAATATGCTGCCATTGCAATGGTTGCAAGATCAGGTCAGTGCTTCACATCAGGAAATGAATGACAAGATATTATACATTTGTTTCTAAAATGATTGAATATATTTAAAGTAAAATTGTCTTTGGTTTAAAATTGAGTTAGTCAATTTCAATAATATGCTGCCATTGCAGGAAATAAATATGGAGTGAGAAAAATCAAATATTTTTGTGTAAATTTGGTAAGCATATTCAAAGGAATCTCGCATGTAGTTTACACCTGCTTAAACTTTGATGACAGTACCACCTACTTCTAGTTATGTTTACTTGTTGATATATATTCTAATAATGTTGTTGACATTGAAAGTTACACAAAATAATTTATTAGGTCATCATATTTGTGTAACACTGATGTAGTTTTTCTGCTAGTCAGTTATGACTCAAGGATAGACTTGGATAGTGAAAGTGTGTTTGACTGCAACATTTTGAAAAGTTGAAGATTTTCACTGTTTATAAAATGTGAGTTTTGACCGCTCCTGCGACTTTGTTGTTAATAATTGCTTTTATGCAGATTCTGGCTGAGTCTGAACCCATAGAAATACCTGGCTACTATGAAGCTCGCTACAACCCCATCAGAAGAGCAATCATGTGGCCCTTGAATCAAGTTTTCAAGTTAGTAATGTAACAATAATCATGTCATACAAAATCATATTAATCAAACAAATAGGCTCTATGTACCTGTACATAGTAGATAAAGCCTAAAAAAGCATAGGTATAATTAAGAGACCTTTTATTACATGAAGTCCTTTTTTGGAGCTTATCTGATGACATGGGAACTGCTTTTCTTCAATATTATAAATAAGAATATTGTCTTATTTTTTGTTAGACCAAGAATCTAAATAATGCAATGGCCGTTATTTTCTCATTAAGAAGATCTCTAAATGAACGTGACTTGTCCCTGTTTAATTCAGACATAGTCTCATTATATGAGTAATTGCAAGAGACACTTGCCCTATATTTTTCTGTCATTTTTTAAGGTTATTGGGAACAATCATAACTTAATTCTTCCATTACAATCATGGTTAAATTTTTTGATGATCAAACCTTTGGGTGCCCACTGTTTTCATTGGTGTACAAACTATTCAGTAAGAATTAACCGCAAATGAGCCCTGTTGAGTTCATGCTGAACTTTATCACCTTTAAACACATTATTGCATATTTTAATATTTGCACTCTCCTAATCCTCGTACCTCTGGCAGCGCCATTCTTCTTATCCTTGTACCTCTGGCAGCGCCATTCTTCTTATCCTTTTACCTCTGGCAGCGCCATTCTCCTAATCCTCGTACCTCTGGCAGCGCCATTCTCCTAATCCTCGTACCTCTGGCAGCGCCATTCTTCTAATCCTCGTACCTCTGGCAGCGCCATTCTCCTAATCCTTGTACCTCTGGCAGCGCCATTCTTCTAATCCTCGTACCTCTGGCAGCGCCATTCTCCTAATCCTCGTACCTCTGGCAGCGCCACTCTCCTAATCCTCGTACCTCTGGCAGCGCCACTCTTATTATCCTTGTACCTCTGGCAGCGCCATTCTTGTGATATTAAAATCCTGTAATTTTACCTTGTGCTCTCATACTACCGGTAATATAAAGAATTTTCATGTTACCAAATATTTTTTAATTAAATACATATCATGATTTTGAAGGCAAATGTAGAAATAGTCAAAGTAAAAATATATATTTATCCAGAATTTGATTTTTTTAACAAAATTGAACATGAAATAATTAGATGTCATTTTCCCAATGAAAATATCACTTGATCACATATAAAATATGATTTTCACATTCATGTTGCAATTTTATCAAACTTAACCATTTGGATGTGAATTTCAAATAAATTATTTTGAATTGTGTAGAATAATCAGTTTTACACTCGCTGTATTTGCATTACCACAGTGGCTCTGCTGGGCAACATAATGATAATTTCTCTTTTAAATTATTACTTTGTACACAAATGCAGCAAGTAGCACATGATGTGTTATTAATACTTCTTGTCCAGGCCAAGTAACCCAAGGCTTGGGTTAATTATGATTTTTTTAACCTATGATTTTTTTTCTCTAGTGACAACCAGAATAATAATAAATAACCACGATTTTTAACACAAGCTTAATTAAAATAGGTAGGACGCTTGCTAGGCTTTAGCATCAGTAATTAAGCACATGATGTGTTATTAATACTTCTTTTCCAGGCCAATTAACCCAAGGCTTGGACCTCAGCGGGCTCATTTCTGGCGCTACCTTGTCGGCAAGGGCTTTATGGGCATTTACTTTGCTCTGGGCACGATATACTACTTCAAGTACAACTACGTACTTCAAGTACAACGCTAATAATGTGAGTATTGAAGAGTGTATACTTTTGCCATGTTCATAATATACTACTTCAAGTACAACAGTAATGTGAGTATTGAAGGGTGTATACTTTTGCCCCTGGGCACAATATACTACTTCAAATACAACACTAATAATGTGAGTATTGAAGAGTGTGTACTTAGCCCTGTTCACAATATACTACGTACGTACTTCAAGTACAACACTAATAATGTGAGTATTGAAAGGTGTATACTTTGCTCTGGCCACAATATACTACTTCGAGTACAATACTAATAATGTGAGTATTGAAGAGTGTGTACTTAGCCCTGTTCACAATACACTACGTACGTACTTCTAATACAACACTAATAATGTGAGTATTGAAAGGTGTGTACTTTTTCCTGGGCACAATATACTACTTCGAGTACAACGCTAATGTGAGTATTGACGAGCATGTTACTACCTGGGCACAATATAATACTTGAAGTACTATGCTAAGGCGACTATTTAGTATCTTGCTCCGTTGTTTAAGTTTAATTTAATAATTACTTGTTAAATTTAATGCTCTATGTTGTATGACGTGTGCTCACACAAAGCTATATTTGCGGCCAATGTTCTTCTTGAGCTACAATCAGTACTATCTCGCTGGTAATTAGCACCACACCCCACTGGTAATCCTCAGCCATTCACCCTGGTAATCTTCATTATTCTTCATCCTAGTAACCCTTGCACCTATGACAGCGCCATATTTCTAATCCTCGTACCTCAGGCAGTGCCATTCTAATCCTCGTGCCTCAGGCAGTGTCACTCTTCTAATCGTACCTCAGGCAGTGCCACTTTTCTAATCCTCGTACCTCAGGCAGTGCCTTTCTTCTAATCCTCGTACCTTAGGCAGTGCCACTTTTCTAATTCTCGTATCGCAGGCAGTGTCACTCTTTTAATCCTCGTACCTCAGGCAGTGCCACTCTTCTAATCCTCGTACCTCAGGCAGTGCCATTCTTCTAACCCTCGTACCTCAGGCAGTGCCATTCTTCTAATCCTCGTACCTCAGGCAGTGCGTTCTAATCCTCGTACCTCAGGCAGTGCCATTCTTCTAATCATTGTATCTCGGGCAGTGCTATTCTTCTTATCATTGTACCTCAGGCAGCGCCATTCTTCTAATCCTCGTACCTCAGGCAGCGCCATTCTTCTAATGCTCGTACCTCAGGCAGCGCCATTCTTCTAATGCTCGTACCTTAGGCAGCGCCATCCTTCTAATCATTGTACCTCTGGCAGAGCTATTTCTAATCCTCGTACGTCTGGCAGTGCCACTCTTCAAATCCTCGTACATCAGGCAGCGCCTTCCTTCTAATCCTCGTACCTCGGGCAGTGCCATTCTTCTAATCCTCGTACCTCAGGCAGTGCGTTCTAATCCTCGTACCTCAGGCAGTGCCATTCTTCTAATCATTGTACCTCGGGCAATGCCCATCTTCTAATCACTGTACCTCTGGCAGAGCCATTTCTAATCCTCGTACCTCTGGCAGGACTGGACGACGGGCAGTGGGTGGCGGGTGTACGTGTCCAGAACGCGTCAGTTACCCGGGCATCCTGACTATGGCAAGCCCAGCCCCCGACTGTACCTCTGGCAGCGCCATTCTTCTAATCCTCGTACCTCTGGCAGCGCCATTCTCCTAATCCTCGTACCTCTGGCAGCGCCACTCTCCTAATCCTCGTACCTCTGGCAGCGCCACTCTTATTATCCTTGTACCTCTGGCAGCGCCATTCTTGTGATATTAAAATCCTGTAATTTTACCTTGTGCTCTCATACTACCGGTAATATAAAGAATTTTCATGTTACCAAATATTTTTTAATTAAATACATATCATGATTTTGAAGGCAAATGTAGAAATAGTCAAAGTAAAAATATATATTTATCCAGAATTTGATTTTTTTAACAAAATTGAACATGAAATAATTAGATGTCATTTTCCCAATGAAAATATCACTTGATCACATATTAAATATGATTTTCACATTCATGTTGCAATTTTATCAAACTTAACCATTTGGATGTGAATTTCAAATAAATTATTTTGAATTGTGTAGAATAATCAGTTTTACACTCGCTGTATTTGCATTACCACAGTGGCTCTGCTGGGCAACATAATGATAATTTCTCTTTTAAATTATTACTTTGTACACAAATGCAGCAAGTAGCACATGATGTGTTATTAATACTTCTTGTCCAGGCCAAGTAACCCAAGGCTTGGGTTAATTATGATTTTTTTAACCTATGATTTTTTTTCTCTAGTGACAACCAGAATAATAATAAATAACCACGATTTTTAACACAAGCTTAATTAAAATAGGTAGGACGCTCGCTAGGCTTTAGCATCAGTAATTAAGACTTGTTAGATACAATTAAGATCTTGATTACAAGCTTTAAATAGGCGGTATCGAGCGATATCATTACTTATAGAAAGGTTCAAGTTGCCACAGATGTTGTGTGGTCATCACACAGATGGTGTGTTCTCTCTAGAAGGTCAAGTTCTCCACGGCAGGTCAAAATTTATTGTTTTTTTTTTTTTATTTTTTTTTCCACGTGCTCCGTATAATATTCTTACGACTCGAATATGTACCACGAATGGTACAGTAACAATGGATGAACCATTGTACCACAAATGGTACAAGAAAAATAAATGTAATCAACAAGCTTTTGGGACAACTTCATCCACTATAAAAATTAATGGGTAAAATTCTACAAATAGTGAAACACGTACTAACTCACAGCATGAGCAGACACCAAACGCAGCACTGCTCCGGCTTTTAGGTGGACCAAACTGGGTCAAAATAACCGCTGTAAGTGTGTCGCTACTAGGATACTGCTATTCATCACTTATTTCTTTGAGTGTGAGGAGACACGGACACATGAAAAGCCTGGCACAACCGAGGGTAACTAAAGTAATAATTAATTGAATGCCACATATTTAAATGAGTATCAGAGATGATCAATTATTCATAATAATACGAGTAACTTGCAATATAATAAAAGTAACTTGTAATAACTTTAGAAGAAAGAGTAAACAGATTAATGTGTAATAACTTGTAAAAAGTGAGTAGCTTGAAATGACTTGAAAAATGAAATTAAATATTCAATAGAAACACAATAAAGGCTTTCAGTGCAGCTAATATCAGAATTGGGCATGTAAATAAACATGAATTTTACATTAATAATAACAAAACTGAATTGTGAACTGATCATGACTTGGTATTTGACAACGAGACAAATTTGCAATGTTACATTTAAACGCAAGTTTCGTTTCAGTGTAACTATGCTGCTGTCAAAGATTACTAATCAATACGCACTGTTAGATTCAGAAACTAGTTTCACTTTAGTTTAACTATAGTAATATCCACTGAAACTAACTATAACTTCAAGCTAGTTAGTTACCGATTATAGCTTAGTTAAAAGTTCAAACTTTGCTTGTTGGGTCAAGTAATATAATCAAACTTAAAATCAATAAACAAAAAAACGCAACTTACGCTAGAAAAATTAATTCGTATTTTCAAAAAAAAAAAAAAACTTTCTGCACGTTACACTGATAAGCTTTTTTTTCAGCGCATTTTCTCATGTATGAAAAATGCGCAAAAATGGCGCTATTGTGCTCGTCATGTCCGTCCGTCCGTGACTTCAAGGACGGACGGACGAGAAAATGCGCTCTCTGTCACTCACTGCAGTGAGTACTGATCTAATTTTTTCTGGACTAAAACTGGGTCAGGATGACACAAAAGGGCTAAAATTGCATCGCTATTTGGACAAAGTCTTTACATTTCCATGAGTGTATACAAGAACCCAAGCACATGGAGACTGAGTATTTGGAAAATGCAATATATAAATGAATAGGAAGCTGACGTTAACTACTTACACCATTACTTAAATACAATTAGACTAAAGTTCATTGCAATATATATAGTCTATACAATATTATTTCACAACAGTTACGCCGCTGGCTAGAGAATATTTCCCGCCTGAGGCCATAATCACGATCTAAAAACAATATTCTAGCATAACATTTTCCCCATTGCATGAAAAGTTCAATAGAAATTTGAAAACATGGAAAATTACGCGAAAATTTTCCATAAATTTTTGAAGAAAACGCTCCCGGTAAGAATAGATGAATTTATTAGGAATTTTCTTTGCTTTGAAATTATTAGAGAATTAATGATTCAAGAAATAAATCGGGTGACGTTAATACTTACATTAATATATATAATGATTTTCTTTGAATTATTCTACGTGTAAATGACCACTTATTATGCCCATCATGACTGGATATATTAATTGACATGGAAATATATACCATTGTCAAGATAAACACAATAATAATCCATCATTACGTTTACACATTTTTTTAGGAGCTTGCGTTATATACTCTGAGGTATCGAAAAGGAAATATTTGACATTATTCCAGAGGACTTTGCTTTTCTCAACCTTCTATGTTTGTGAACGAAAGTGAACTGCCTTCTGGTATTTGATTTCGGTTCCGTGAGAAGGTTTGGTGTCTTCTCGTTATTTTAAATTATCATTATTAGAAATTAATAGTAATTAAATAACCATTACTAATAAACTTAACTTATACAACCAGATTAACGTAGAATTAATGCACTTAATCACACGTACACGCGAGTTCCCTCCACAGATTGTGTACAATAGTTTACAGAATACAAATACAAGTTTTTTAAAATCATTCCGTATATTAGACAAAAAAAAGTGTCATTCCAAAAAAACGTAGAAATTCGCTATCAACCGACAAGATTCTACATTAAGTAAGACATCCTTGACGAGAACAACTAATTGATATCGTATGTTATCAATTCATTGACTATTTAAAATACATTTTTCATAAAACTCGAAAGAAAATAACTAAAGTGAAAATTTATTGAGTCAAACGACATAAAATTAAACAGTTCCACATGAACTGCAAAGTTTAATCTGGTGAGACTCGTTTTATTTAAACGACTTTTTCTTCCAATTGTTGCTAGAGTTGTTAACTAAATAAGTTTATCTACACGTGCAACCTACAATAAAATAATAAGAGTTAAACTCGGCGTCTATTTTCAAACGGAGGAGAAACTTTGATATTTAGAAGCAAAAATTAGGTTATTAATATTGATTGCTTAACCCTCAGTTGGGTAGGACGTCTTGCTCCAGCGAGAAGCTGTAGTAATACTGCCGACAAATACATTAATATTAATATTAATAATAATAATATTATCAACGATAACAGATCTTAATAATAACACATCAAAAATACATTAGTAATAATATTAATAATAATGGCAATAGTAAATTATTGAATAATAACACATCACAAATACATTAGTAATAATATTAGAATATTATAAACAGTAAAAGACTGACTATCATCACTGACTATCATCATCACATGCACCATCTCACCTCACTCTCCACCAGCTGTGCAGACTTGTATGGTGTAGATGGTGTAGGTTCTCTCACCGCTCCGTGTGTGTTTGTATATTTCTTGTTCAGAACAAACGGCACTTGGTATAAAGCTGCACAATACAACAGGAAATTAATACGGTATTTAATAAGTAAATAAATATAAATATGTTTAATTTGAAGCAATGAACTAAACTATGTTAGCCGAATAGGTAGTAAGTGCCTAGATACCTGGTATTATACGTTAATAAATGGGCAGGATTAACGGCACTTGGTATAAAGCTGCACAAAACAATATCAAATTAAAAAGATTTAAATTGAAAAAAATGGGTATTTATAAAGTAAGGCAGTACAGTATTATAGTTGAATAGGTAGAAAATACTTAGTAACTTTAAAGTAAGTTCATTGATTATCGTAACTTCCACGATTGAAAATCTATCATTTATTTCCCAGTTACCGATTGTAATTATTATTTTCAGCTAACATTTTTAATTAAATTGCAATATTTTATTGTATCAGCAGCAACATGTTGAATATTGTACATTGTTATTGAATATTTTGTGAAATTGTCCTTAATTAGTGAATATTGTTTTTATATATTGAATATTGTTAAGCAGGAATGCAGGTATAACCTGAATGTGAAGCCTCATATGTATCAGCCGCCGCCGCCCCCCCGGAGGAGTAGGGGTTGTGTAGAGGCTGTCTCTTATACACATCTAGATGTGTATAAGAGACAGGTGTAGGGGTTGTGTAGAGGGGCGGCAGCGCCCCCTCCCCCTACAGGAGGAGCTGGTGCAGGTCGTGAGGGTCGCTCCACGCCAGGGTACAGCCTGCCGCTGCCCTGGGACGGTCTTCTGTCACTAGCCTCCCCATGGGGACCAACCCTGAACATGCAAATTATATAGAGTTACAAATTATTTCACTATTATTTTACTATTATTTCACTATTCTTTCACTATCATTTCACTAATATTTCACAAATATTTCACTATTATTTCCGTATTATTTCACTCAGAAAAATAAATGAAGCGTAGTACTGTCCATGTTTCTAATTGCTCAAAAAAAAATGCTTGTAACTCAGAAGAAAGTAAATGAAGAACAAAATTATTTCTAGTTCACTCAAATAAACGCTTATAATTCAGAAAAAATGATGTATCACTCACGAAAATAAATGAGTCGTAATGTCCATAGTTCTAAGCAATCAACATAAAAATATGATTCCAACTCAGAAATAAATGGGTCATATTGTCCAAATAGTGACATGCTTTCTTATCCACAGCACAAGCTGAAAGCGGACGTAGCACTGATACGCCCTTTTGCTGGGCCAAACTGGGTCAAAATGACCCACACAAGAGCAAAAGTACATCGCTATTTGACTAAAGTCATACTCATTTCTCTCAGTGTTGCTTCCAAATAAATTTCTTGTCCGGTGTCAGCAAATCAAGAATTAATAGAAAACTTTCTGGTATGGCTAACTGGTATAGCTCACTGGTATAGCTGACTGGTATAACTCACTGGTATGTCTGACTGGTGTAACTCCCTGGTATGTCTGACTGGTGTAACTCACTGGTACAGCTGCCTGGTATAACTCACTGGTACAGCTGCCTGGTATAACTCACTGGTACAGCTGCCTGGTATAACTCACTGGTAGGGCAAACTAGCAGCACTGCTGCCGGGGGGAGAGCCAGGGCTAGTAGCAGTCGTGCGCTTGTAACAGAGACACAGGCCGTTCATCTCCCCTGCCAGCGTGAAGCCTTCAGGGGCTATTTTGCTGCTGCTTAACACAATAATGTCCGTCACCACCTGAGAAAATAACTCATTAATGTACAACATAAATAATAATAAAAAATATAACTCAGTACTCACTGCAGTGACTGACAGAGAGAGCATTTTCTCGCTAATGGAAACGCAAAATCACGGATGGACAGACAGACGGACGGACAGACAGACGGACGGACAGACAGACAGACGGACGGACATGGCGAGCACAACAGTGCATTTTTCCATAAATGAGAAAATGCGCTAAAAATAAGTTTATCATTGCCATGGGCATACAAAGTGACATATATGCATAGCATACATTTCTTTTTTTTTTGTCCACCAAAACAATAAATTTAATATAAATCTTGTCTGCTTCATTATTGCTGTTATCATTATGATGCCACCAAGCAAAAGCAGCTTTTATAGAATTAAGTTAGAATAAAATACAGTAGTAGATGTTGTCTATGGAACAATTGGAAGGGGAGTAAAGTTATTCTAGGAAATCAATGTCAAGTTGCACCATAATATTGTCTGATGGTGATTTTTGAGATGTGCGAGTATAGAGAAATAAGGAGTGGACTATTGTATTGTTGCTGATTTTATTGCCAAGTATATTGCGTTGTTGCCAATTCTCAATGCATTGACAAGGTAGAATATTATCATTTGAAACACTAAGGCATTTAAAAGAATAGAATATAGTTTGAAGTTATTATACCTGTTTCAATATTTTCTGATTTTAAATTAAAAATTAAACCTAAATCTTAATATTTTTCAAATTATATTAAACAATATACAGTATAGGTATATAAATGATTTACAAACTATATCAAAATATATTTTTAAAGTTATTATACCTGTTTGGCAACATTCTTTGGCACAGCCTTGAAGCATATCAATTTCTTTTTGAATGCCTTTTGATCTGAAAACAAAAAATGATTTTTTTGATGAGTAAAATATATACAATTTAATTTATATCAAGCTTTAAATTCAGGATTTTCTTCAAAAGCATAGGAAAATAATTAGGCTTTCAAAAATACATTATTCATTAGAGCATGGTTTGATATTAAATTTATTTTATCCTGAAACAAAATGAAGTAATAGGTAATATAAATTATGATTTGAATCTACAAATAAAAAAATTTTTACAATGAGATAAAATTAAGTATTGATATAATTTTTAGTTCCAAAATTTCATACACAGTTACAATTTGACTTTAATTCAAGAGCCTCTCACTTGTATCCATTGTAGTAGAAATAGGAGTGTAGCCTGATGGGCAGGACTCCTTGTCATGAACTACTTGAATCTCTTCAACAACGTAACCTAAGTAGCCAGCTACTTTGCTGTGGCAGATGTAGCGAGTTACACGCTTGAAGAAACCATCCTTGTATAGATCAGCGTCTATGTCCTGGTCATGTGTTCGTGAAACCTGCGCAATGACAGAAATTTTAATTTTATATTTAAATAATACTAGCATTATACAGTTAAAATTTTAATGCCTCTTTGCAGAAATATATGATGGAAAAAAATATGCATTACTAAAAAAATTAAACATATGGAGTCAAATTTAAGCTAATCACTTCATTAACAAAAATTTCATTATAAAATTAAGGTTCACCAACATGAACCTTCAAACTAAGAAGTAAAAAATGTATGGGGGCATTTAATTTTCCATACATATCCAATTTTCAAATATAAAAATGAATAAAGTATATTTTCCTACATATCACAATGTCTTTCTTATAAATATGGTATATTGGACAAGTTTTTACTATAAATTACATTGAAAATAGTTACACAGTTGGTTTTTGAAAATCTATGGTGATAATGTCCCATTTTGCATTAATAAAACTATTTAGTTAGGCAAGGACCAAGAGCATAGATCGAAAAATTTTCTAACCATAAAAAATTAGCTATATTTATATATAAGAATCTAAAATCTATCAAGTCAAATGCGAAATTATTTTTCTTATCTATAAAATATGTTCTTACTGCAGTGAAATTAGCAGGACATTTGTTGAGGTCCTCCACCACACACAGAGTTGTGATGGGACGGTCGTCGGGCAAGGCATTGTACAGCTCCCGCATTGTGATGCTGTGATGCTTTAAAAACAAATCAGGCAAATCTGTGAAGGAAACAAAATGGAAAGGTACAAATTGTACAGCTCCCGCATTGTGATGCTGTGATGCCTTAAAAACAAATCAGGCAAATCTGTGAAGGAAACAAAATGGAAAGGAACATTATTAACATGTTAAGTGCGGCTATGTTATATTTAGGGAATATTTCATCCCTGTGGTATGATGATACGATTCACCAATGGGTAGTGTCACACTCAACGTGTTAATGATGAATGTAGTGGCAAAGCTAAGCCTTTTTAGACAAACTTTTTTAGTCCTATGAGCAGACCAACTAAGAATAATTGACACCAGCATCATCATACATTGATATGGAATAATATTTTGAATTAGATTGTGGAATTAATAATTAACTGCATTATAAATATATCTAGTCTGCCACTAATGATAAACAATTATATAATTATATATACCATCAAACATCATTGATGCTCCAAGTATGAATGCCTTCAAGAACAGACTAGACAAAGCTATGCAGGAGCATATGTTCAGTCTTAAAATGCCCAGCAAATTACAGACCAGGCAATAAGTCCGGCAGCTATCTCAATCAATCGTCAGCTATGGAAAGATCGGGTTCCAAAGGCCGGATCCCTTGTGAATCAAGTCACGAAAAGTTCAAGAATCGGCAACAGGCCATGGGCCTATTTCTTCAGTGCCGACACTTCTATTCTGTTTTATAAATGGGGTAATAAAAGACAGTTTTGAGTGTTTTTTGTTGATAACTTTTTACCATGAAACATTTCATAGACAAGTTTCAACTCATTTTAAAGGGCTTTGCAAGGGCTATTGTATGACATCTCTGAAAAAATGTGCTATTTGTGTGGTGCCAGAACCATAACAAAAACATCCCTAATTACCCCTGGGAATGGAGTAATCCAGAACACTTGAAATAAGACTCAATTTTAAAATGTTTGAAGCATGCAAAGTGTACTCATCCATTACTAACAGACTCTGAAGTCCTCCTCCCTTTGTAGATGATGTAGATGTAGAATAAATGACAATTTCTGTGATTTTTACTTCTTTTTCCTTTATTGATATATTACCATATCCATACATTACCGCATTGTTCTGATATATTACCTTATCCATGAACATGCCATTGAACATTTGCAACGACCTGGTCCCCTGCAAGCTTCATTTCAGCAGCCTGTAAGCTGCTGATTTTTTCTGTGTGGTATCAGTAAGCTTGCAGAACAGCTTGTAATTTCACACCATTTTAATTGAGTCAATTGAATTCACTATAACAAAAGAAGATAATATAAACATACCTGAAACAGAAAGGAAGATTTTAGTGACAACCATTATATTTTTTGAAGAAATATATCATAGTTTAGGTAATTACTTTTCATTCTATGCTGCCTGATGCACAATTCTATCTATGACATTCAATGCTCCTTTTTATGATGGCTGATGATGCATTAATTTTTTGTTAAGTGAAATTTTTTACGCCTAATTGAGGTTCTAGCGTAAATGCATTTTTAGGGGTTTCCCTTATTACCCCGTCTTGCAGAAATGGCAGCCATTTTTTAGAAGAGATAACCAAATTCTGTCAACCACATTTTTAAGCCAACACCCATGTGCAACTTTTATGTCAGTAAAATGGCAAATATTTTTTTGGCTACAGACCTTAGCAGAGGTATTTTCCAAAATCTCACTTTTCACACTTATTTGAGGGATATTTTAAAGGTAGTAAATGTATGATTTCTAAATTTGCTTTATGCTACATAGTAAAAATGTTGATGTTTACTCCACTATTTTCAAGTTTGCAATATTTTGATGAGTTTTGCTGCTACATTTCTACAAAATGTGGGATGACAGGTCTTGATTTACTCCGCTTGTCCATTTTTATAACCATTTGCGCAAGCATGGAAAACATCTACTTTAATCGCCATGACTAAAGCTTTCCCACCATTTCCGGAACTGCGAGGTTTCTGCCAGATGAATTACCTCTTATCTAATGGTTAACAATAGTGCACAATTGGGCTGTGAGATTCCCATCATCCCATGTGTAACAAATCTGCCATGTTGGAGCCGTGAGATTTCAGAAACATATGGGAAAATTCCAATCCTACCTTTACGGTTAGTATACTGTAGTGGCAAAGTAGAGTTTCTTTTGAGTTTAGACTATCCTTCAAGATCAGGATTGGAATATTCATACTTGTTTCTGAAATATCATGGCTCCAATGACCAACATGACAAATTTTTAATAAATTTGGAATCTTGCAGCCCGATTGTGCACTTTTGCTAACAATTGAATGGAGCTCTAATTCATCTAGCAGAAATCTCATGGTACCGGAAATGGCGGGAAACCTCTAATCACGCCCTAAAATTAGACATTTTCCCACATTTGCTTCAGCCTTCAAGTTCAATTTCAAGTCCTATAAGTAAACCAGCATCATTACCGTCAACTGGGGCTACTCGGGACGGGCGGGGTAACTTGGGACAGTCCTCTGACACGGCGTAAAACTGTTTTAGTAGCAAAACTAATTGGAATATTGCAAAACTAAATATAGTAGCGTAAACGTCAACAATTTTCCTATCTATGTAGTACAAAGAAAGTTCAAAAATACTAAATTCACTAGCTTTGAAAAACTCCTGAAAAAATGGTGAAAAACGATATTTTGAAAAGTTACTTCTGCTAAGGTCTGTAGTAAAAAAATATTCACAGTTTTACAAAATTTTACTTGCATAAAATTTGCACCCAGGTGTCGGCTTGAAAATGTAATTGACGGATTTTGCCTATCTCATTCCAAAAAAAAATGGCAGTCATATCCGCACGGCGGGGCTACTTGGAACACCCCCCAGGGGCTATTCGGGACACCCCCAAAAGTGCATTTACAGTAGAACCTCAGTTAGCAAAGGCTCCAGTTAAGTATTTTGCTTTAATCATAAATCTGCCCGACCCACGCTTTTTGGGGCAAGCCATAATTTATTTTCTACTTTATAGTCCACAAGAAAAACGTGTTTTTTAAAATAGTATTTTTAAGTACCTATTTTATTTTATAGTAAATTCACTTAACCCTATTAAAATGGTGTGAAATTACAAGCTGTCCTGTAAGCATACAGATACAGAAAAAATGCTATAAGGCTGCTGATATGAAGCTTGCAGTGGACAAGGTTGTTGTAAATGCGCAATGGCATGTTCATGGATACGGTAATATTGCATCAATAATACAGTAATATGGCATCAATAATATGGTACCGTCAACTGGGGTGACTTCTGCTGTGTTTTTGATTTTGTTTTGCAAACAAAAGCGGGGTCGTAATCGATGGCCAAAGTCACTCTGGCGTTTATGACCCCGGCATTGGCGTTTATGTCCCCGTTTTTGTTTGCAAAACAAAATCAAAAACGCAGGGCAAGTCACCCCAGTTGACAGTAATTAATGTTTATGGTAATATCCTATCAATAAAGGAAAAACAAGTAAAAATCACATAAAATGTCATTTATTCTACCTCTACATCAACTACAATGAAAGAGGAGGACTTCAGTTCAGAGTACTGTTAGTAATGGAAAAGTACACTCTGCATGCTTCAAATATTTTAAAATTAAGTTTTATTTCAAGTGTCCTGAGTAGACCCGTTCGACAGGGCTACTAGGGACACTCTTTTTTTGCTTCTGGCACCTTACGAATAGCATATGGAATTTTTTTGAAGATGCCATTCAATAGCCCTCGCAAAGAGCTATAAAATAAGCCTAAACTTGTTTATGAAATGTTTCATGGTAAGAAGTTATTAACAAAAAATGCTCAAAACCGTCCCGAGTAGCCCCAGTTGGCAATATGAATAGAATATTGTTTTAAATCTAGACTCTAGAGTAAATGAGAAAATAAACTTATTCTAAAAAATTACTGGTTTGTCACTATGCGGTTTGACAGAATACAACCTCAATTTTAAAGTTTGGCATGGGCCACATGGCAATGTTACAATTACAAATCCTAATTTTAATTAAAGATCAAAATACCTAGCCAGTCTGTAGAGTATGGCCTTTTAGCTCGAGATATTGGCGTCTTTTGAAAATTTTTATCAGCCACCTCGACCTTACATTGGCGTCTTTTGAGGATCTTCATCAGCCATCTTGACCTTACATCGGCGTCCCGTCGCGGTCGCCGCGATCTGAAAGGTACGGCGTGAGCACCGGAGGCCCATTTAGGGATGTACTCCAGCATGCCAGGAAAAAGTTGCCAGAATGTTTGCTAGAAAAACCAAAGTGCATATCTGACCGTTGTCTGATGATCGATACTGAGGCACGTGCTTTACGACTGATTCGGCCAATGCCCGACAATGATGCACGCACTTGCGCGATCGACGCAGCTGTTGCTCAATGATTGACATAGATGCCCAAACTTTACGATCAATGATCGACACGGATGCACGCATTTTACGAGCGATATGGCCGATGCCAACTGATCGATTCCAACACTGAGAGAAAAAGGCCCCTCGTTTTGAAATACTTGGGTGTTTCAAAACCTTTCGAGCTTGACGCGCTTATATGTGTGCGGCAAGCGTTGCCTGGTCAGTGCGCCGAATGCTGTTGTAGGCGGTGGTTGTGTGGAGCCGCCGCTCATGAATGCCACGAATCTATACTGCTTACGGTTAATTGGCCCAACTCAATTCGGTTAATTGTTTCAACTCACTGTTGTTCTTTTGTCAATAGTAATGTTAACGAGCGACGTCTATACCATTCAATCGCACAAGAAGTTGATCATAAAATCGAAGATTTATTCTGGTAGTACCGCGCGCAAGACAAAACAAACACGGCAGCTCTATGTAGTTGCCGTCTCCGTAGCTGAGTGGACTAAGGCGCCTGCTCGCGAGCGTTTGGTTGCAGTCTTGGCAGAGGTTCGAATCTCGGCGGGCGACTCATAGT